CAAGCTGAATACATAAATAGGAATTGTCATATTATACAAGGACAGTATCATTTCCCATACTCGCCTCCACAGATCTCCAGAGTTGACTCTCACCTGGCTCGTATTAATAGTTTTGTCTCCCTCTGTAGTCCGCCATGCTGGAGCTGGTGGACATATTTGGCCAATCATCCGAGGCCCCTCCCCCGCCTCATGACCCTTGGAACTCGACCCAACCCAGCGATGACGTCTCCTCGGACCCCTGGGACTCTGTAGGTGGGTGGCTCATCTCACACACACATGCTGTGAGGTTTTCTTATGCTTCACAATTATGTTTTTTTGCCTGTAACAGCGGTCCAATCCAGCACTCCTGTGATTGGTAGCCCTTGGACGGCCCCTCCCTCCTCCTCCAATGCGTCCAATCCTTGGGCTCCATGTGAAGACTCACACACAGACCCCTGGGAAGCTCCGCCCGTCTCCTCCAGTCCTGTCAATCATGCGTGGGACAGCCCAACAGACGGAGGTACCTGAGAAGTCAAGCATCAACAAAATGCATATATGTCGTAGTTTTCAATATCTGTCCAAACAATGTTATCACTACATTTTGCCTATTTTATTTAATGTGTTTTTGTTTTTTTTGACAAGCAGATGGTGACGGGGAAGATCCGTTCGCTGCACAGGAAGAGGAGAATCCTAAACAGGAAGTTCCTCAGCTGTCCTCCCCTCAACCTGCTAGTCCCACAGGTATTGTAGTACAAGACAGCAAGAAGTACTACAGTCTGTACATTTGGATCTTAGACGCAGTAATTATCAGTCCAGCATGAGCCTATGGACAGCAGCACTCATAGATAGTACTCACAAAATAAGTTGATATAGATACACAGTATAGACAAAAGGTGGCTTGCTGTTGTGTTTATTTTATTTACATACAGTATATTCTGCTGCATTGCACGAAATGTTCCATAGCTCGTGTCCATCCCTTAGGGTTGTGATCGTTTTAAGCTTTCAATTAGTTTTAGTTATATTTCAAATGTAGCTTTGGCTAAGCTAAATTCTACACAATTCATGTTGTAAATTATGCAGGAATAAACTGCATGTGAAAAACTATTAATTGTTAGCCGTTCCAGTATAGTGCCATCTTGTGGCATTCAAAGCCGGTAAAAGAATTCTGCGTTGCCTTCGTAAACCTCATAATATTTCTGTTCCTGGAGCAGATGAAGAGCTGTTTGGAGTGAAGGCAGACTCCGACCCATTTTCCGGAGCAGATTTTAACCCCGATCCGTTTGGGAGCGACCCTCCTGTGAACCCTCTGGTAAACGGACGAGAGTCGACCAGCCCGGAGATCTTTGACCTGTCCCGGCTCGCGCCCCCCCTCAGCGCCCCTGCTTCACGGTTGTGTCGAACCCCAGAAGCCTTCCTGGGACCTACGGGGGCCTCGCTGGTTAATTTAGACGCACTTATACCCTCCAACCCCGCCAGCAAGATGCACAACAACCCCTTCCTCTTAGGTAACAAACCAGAGCCCACAAACTTTACTTGTATGTGAATGTGAATCTAGAACCGGGTTACATTTTTCCAATAATCCTGTACCTCTGAGATGATCAATTCCTTTCAACGATGGTGGCATGATTTTGTGAAAGTTGCATTTATGTATCTCACATTTCATGACGTCAAATTCAGCTGGAAACGCGCAAAACACAAATAAAAAATACCATTAATATAACATTTTGTCTCCAGGAGGAGATTGTATTTTGCAACAGTTGCTCCATTTTACATGAAAAATAACGTTAAAATAAAATAATGTTTTGTGATATTGTTAATCCTTTCCATCCTGTCTCCTCAGGTCTGAGCACCCCATCTCCCACCAACCCGTTCCACTGCGACCAGCCTCGCCTCACCCTCAACCAGATGCGACCGTGCTCCACATCCCCCCTGCCCCCCCCACATGCTCTCCTACAGCCCGTCGCTGCCCCTCCCGCTGCACCACCAGCCCTCCGCCCTCCCCTCCTCCCTCACACAGCCTCACGCAGGACTCCTGGGCCTCCCCTCCAACCTCCCCCAGCCCCTCCTGCCCCTCTCCCCCCGCCGGGCGCAGCACACTCAGTCACAGACACACAGCCACAACCCCTTCCTCTGAGACCCCCTGCAGCTTCTGAGCTCCGGTCTGCAGAGGGAGACGACAGAATGGACTCTTTATTTTGGATGAATCTATGCCGACTACAACGAGACAAATTAGCCTGAACTGGACCGCGGATCCTGGTCTGATGTGATAAAACTCGGATTGTATTTGTGTCTAAAGACATATCAGCTGCTATACAACCTGAACTCTTGAAGAAAAAGCAAACACACACACACAACACACACACACACACACACACACAGGCACTCAGGCGCACGTAAAGGTGCAGACACACACACACACACCACCAAACTTACAGGGTGTATCTCAACTGTCCCTTCGATGCCTTTTCTCAATCAACAGTGATGACCCCGAGCACTCTTTACCCACAGAGCCCAGAACTGTTCCTCAAGAAGATCAAAATGAAGCCACACACTTTGATTGTCCACCGAGATTCACCAGGATCCTTACCGCTGCTGCTTCACCGACGAAAGCATGAATGCACCCCACCCCCCAAGACTCCACTCTATTTTACTCGGCTGAGCACCTGAGACAAGTTCTTTAAATAACTCCTCTTTTTCTGATGAGTCCGATATATTGAGCTTTGTTGGCACAAATAAAACACTGGAGAAAGCCCAAAAGAGTGTTACTGTTACATTCAAGACAGCATGTATCACCGATCAAGAAATAATTGATACTGTATTCCTCCCTACAGTACATACACAGTAGGGCTGCAACCTATGATTATTGTCATTATAAATGAATCTGCCGGTTTATTTTCTAGATTATTCGATTTTAGTTTGGTCTACAAATGTCAGAAAATTGTGAAAAATGTCCTTCCCAGTTTCTCAACGTCCAAAGTAGTATCTTGTTTTTTCCAAAACCCAAAGATATTCAGTTATGATATAAATCAGACAAAAAAATAAGGAAAATCTCCATATATGAGAGGCTGAACACAGCATGTTCTGCCTTTATTGCATAAAAACGTAGTGCTACGATTTATCTATTATCAAAATAGGCGAATCATTTCCTAACGATCGATTACTCAACTAAATTGTTGCAATCCTAATGAACACAATGATATATTTTTATAGTTGCCTTGTTACCTTGAAGGCTCAACAGCATCTGGTTAGATACATTATTTGTTTATTCAAAACTGGTCTAAAACCAACCTAAACCATAGCTCCCTGTCATAATCTGGACCTACACTGATTGTACCCCGTCAGACCCGTGTGCCTGTCTCTGCAGCTTACCCACAATGCATTCCCGGCCGGTTCATACAGTATGATGCCATAAAGCAGGGCCTCAGGGAGACCGCTCTGACACTCCTCCAGTGAAACTCACCCTTAGAGAAAGACATTAGTCTAGAGGTAGAACCACAGGGAGAAGAAAGATTTTATTTAAGATGACGAGAAGGGATAAAGTATAGGAGGGAGGAGTAAAAGGAAGAAAATTAGATAACGAAATAACAGATGATAAATTGATGTATTGTCCAGTGTCTCCTCCTTTCTTCTGCTCTGTGCTCACTCTGTGTTTGGAACAAATGAATCAGACAAAAAGATGTTTGGTCATCACTGCACTGAACCTGGACATGAATGTGAAATGCCTGCCTATAGATACACACAGGCGTAGTACATATGTATTTAACAGAATGATACCTATAAATTATGAAATATTATACCAATAAATGAATGGTGTTTGCATTTTACTCTCTGCGTTCATATGGTTGATTGATGAGTTATAACTCTGCCACAGAGGTTACGTTTTTTTTTTTTGGTGTGCATGTCAGAAAGATTATGGAAAAAACTACTGTCCTGACTTTTATGAACGTCCATTGGTGTAAGAGTGCAGCATTGGCCAAGGAAACACATTACTTTTTGTAGGGGATCTGCATCACAAGGCTGATACACTACATTATTATTCACTTATGGAAACTACCCTTGGCAGGAGGTCTGCTCTCTCCAGGGACCTTCGACTTCCTTCATTTGTTACGACAAAGACACACTGAATATATCAATTTAATTCGAATTTAGCCCCTGAGCAACTTTCCCAGAATGAACGGAGGGCCGCCTCCAGTGCTTTATCCATTTCTCTTTATACTTCCATGGTTTTCAAGCTGTCATTGGAGGTACTCAAATGGCGGGGGCTTATTCTAATGAGCACGAATGTGACATAGTAAGGGGATGGTTCTGTCTGTAAGTATAATGTATGTGAGCCATGTATCTACAAGCACAGACAAAATGGGTGTTCTCGACATGTCCCCTTTAAGTTGGCAGTTTTTTAACCACTTGGGGGCATTAATAATGAGTGATAAGTCAACATTAAAGTCACTTATTAAGTTGACAAGCATATACAAATGTTGCATTCATTGCTCAAATGTACACCTGCTAACACCTAACCATGTCTGTCTGTAGTGACCAGTGTTTTTTTTTAGTTTATTTAAAGCTGAATACAGGTGCAAACAAAATCTAAACGCACACATGCACTAATATCTGAAAATAAATGTTTATGTTGATGCTAAAGAGAATAGGTATTATTCATTTCACGTCTCGACCACTAGATGGTAATATTGACCCAGCTGTTTTTGCACCCTGCAGGTCTTCCTTCATTATTTTACTCCTGGGTAACACAATGGATATGATTACATTCCTGTTAGTGAAGCAACCCATCAGCCAGCACACTTTATTTGATTAAGTAGTAAACAGCAGCAGTTGTTAGTACTATTCAGTAAATATAGTAGTAGTAGTTGTAGTACTTGTGCACTAAAGCAGTGCCATGTGTATGTGTGTACAGTACACGTGTGTATACATCATCATGGACTAAAGCAGTAAAGTATTGCAAGTTGCTGCAAACATATCTTGCCTTTGAAAAGATATTGAATTCAAAGAAAGACTGATACTGTCTTCTTTAGTCCCTGCAGGTATCTCTTCTGTGTGTGTCTGCATGAGATGCTTCACAAGATCATTTAAAACAACCACAAATTGCCTCAAACATGCACAGTTCCCGAAAACTAACTGAATCGAGGAAATCCAATCATCCCGTTACCCACAGACACACACTCACACACTTCCCTCCTCTTTAATGTCTGGCCTGTCTGTCCAAACAAGATCAAGTGCAGCCTGATCACAGATCTAAACAGCAGCAGCCTGCACCGTTTGATTTGCAACCTCGACATGTGGTGTTGATTTGGGGAAGGAAAGGATTAAATGGATGGGAGAACAGTTGTCAGAATGAGTAGACCAGTGTGTCTGTTGCAAAAGAATATCAGACGCGATGTGGAGGGAAATGGACAAACTTCACATTTACAACAGACTCAGAGGGACTCACCCTGAGCCTCCAGGAGTAAAACCAGTGAGATGTATAATTAAAAGTAAATCGTGCATGTCTTTCTGTAGTTATCAAACACTACTTGTCAGTTTTTTGGAAAAACTTACATACAATAATGTCATTTGTTTGCTTCTTTCATTACATCATACCAGCATTGAAGCTTTGTATTGAAACTCCCCTCTTCAGCAGGTGTGTTGCACAGTCAGGTCAAGTTTTCTCCTGATCCCATACATCATGCACTCAAGCATGAAATAATCATTCCTGCTCGGTTGCCCCCCCCGGAGCTGTTGTTCCTTGACTGCAATGAGGCCTTTGTCCAATTTAAAGAATTATTCAAAGTAATAAATCGCGTTTTGTCCAATCCAAAATGCTCCTGCAGGCCATGTGGGAACAATTATTCTCCGGTGTAATCTCTGGACCACATCCTGTCTGAGTGGTGGCCTATAGAGGAGTGTGTGTCTGACTGTGTTTAATACAAATCAGGACTTTATTAAGAATAACACAGAAGTAAATCAGCTTAGGTTTTTTATTGCTCATGAATTGCTATCATGACACACGTAAAAAATTAGGATGAATATGAGGATGATAATGAGCCGTCTGTACTATGAAAGTAGGCCTAGATGTAATGGGCACCAGAGTAGGGATAAACCGTATCCAGGACTAATTTGTTTTGATTCCTGACTCAAATCATGAACTGTTTGATCATCCCTGTTTCAGCTGGGATTTGTATTATTTTTGTTGTTACTGTGACTACGGTTAGATGCAACAAATACATATATCTTCATATGTCAACACTCAGACTGATTCACACATACTGATACACTGAGCCTGCTCCATCTTTCTCTTCCTCTCTCTCTCATCCATGTGCTCTCCTATCTGAGGGAAAATGTAAACGATGGTCAGAATCATTATTTCAGCCCATCCTGTTTTTCTGTCCGCTAACCAAGACAAACCATGCTGCTGCTGCCAACATTAACATAAAAAACCCACCCTGATCTGGTTCGCTATAGTCAACATTATGCAGGAAAGCAGCTCTGAGAGCTGCAACGTTGCATTAACAATGAGCATGACCAAACAAAAACATGAAGATAGAAAAAGAGAAGTATTTAAATAAATCGTGTTACTCTCTTATGTTGTTAAAATATAAGTTAATTCCTATCCTTATAAAAAGCAGTTTTGGTATATGACCTTGTACAGTCAGATACAAAAAACTACAATTTATAGTTCATGACAACTGAAAATATCCTAATGAAGGCTATTAGATGTGAATGAAAGCTTTGCAAAATGTCTAGAAAATTGATCTTGTGCTAGGAATTTGTTATGATTGAATACTGAAAACAAAATATATATGATGTGATTAATAATGGCAACTTTCTACTAACTAAGACAACATTCCAAAGTGTATTTTACGAATGTAGATCTTAATTGAACATTGTTGATGATTTGTCAGTTTTAAAAAAAGGAATAGCCTACTTCAGATTTGACTTGTTTTATTATTATTATTATTATTATTATTATTATTATTATTAATAAATATCCAGCTTCCTGGAAAAGAGTGAGAGCTAAAAGGCAAACTAGCTTTTTGGCTGCAAGTAGAAATAAACGAGGCCTTGAGCTGATTTACACACTGCCTGTAACGTCACAAGTCATGTGATTAACGGGGAGTTTCAGCGAATCCGGAGTCTGTCCGTGTTTTACACCAGCCAATGAGCGTCTGCAATTCATTGTTTGCGGAAGTTGTGAAGCCAGTATCCGCGCTGCAGGTTTGGACTAAATGTTTTGCTAAAAGTGTTTCTTTAAGCGTCACAAAATGTACACACCACCTTTCGAGAGATGTCATTTGCCAATGAGGACACATTAAACTTAGAGAACAGAAATGACACAGTGAGAACTTACGTTTTGATTCCACGTGTAGCCCTCGTGGGTCAACCTTCGTCGCAGACTCAACTGTGCTAAATAACTTTGATTTCGGCCTTTATCACATCATCTAAACCTTGGTTGGTCGCTTGTGTTACTGCCCAAGTGCTTGCTCTGCGGGCTCAGAGGTGGACATGAACCCCCCGAAGAGGCTCCGGCCCACAGGAGATGAGGAAGAAACACCGACAAGCGGGAAGGAGGAGGGGGGAGCAGTGGATGTGGTAGGTGATAGGTGATAAACCTGCAATTTCAAATAAACAGCTAACATTGATTTTCTGAGCTAAAAGACAATATACAGCACGCTGGCAGGTTTTTGGAGTATGTGGCCAGAATGAAATTGGGGTAATTGAAATTGGGCGACGTTACATTGCTCCTATTATTGAATTGAAATAGAAATAGAGAAACCATAAGAAAGTAGAAACAAGTAAGTAGAAATATGTGCATTATACAACGATGAAGAAAAAAATTAAATATGAAAGTTTGGAATCTATTCATTGATGCTTTCATCATGCGTAACTTGACTGTTTTGTCGTGTTTTCAGAGTATTGTCATGCCAATGTACAATGCATCCTGTTGGCTGGATGAATGTCTGCAGGCCATATTACATCAAGACTACACTGGCACCATGGAGCTGTCTGTCTTTGATGACGCAAGCACTGTATGTTTATTTTTGTATGCATATAAACACACAGATCTAATTTGTCACAAAATATGAGACCCCAGTTGAAGTTTAAACTCTGTGTGTTTCCTTTAGGATGACTCCAGGACAGTGGTGGAGGGCTGGAAGGAGAGGCTGGAGGAGAGGGGCGTCTCCGTGGTGATCTCCGGCCACAACTCATCCCAACCCAGAGGAGGTCAGTGGACTTTAGGTGGTTGATCAGTATCAATTCCCATGTCTGATTGAGTCAGTCGCTGACATCAGTAGAACATTTTCTATGAGAAGCCAGGGAAGATGTAAGAGTTTATGTAAGATCTGCAAAACTCAAAGTCCATTTACCAGCATTCAACCACAGGGTTGCCAACTTTGGGTACCTGGCTGGAGTGAGATTTTGATATCATGGGTTTAATTACACATATGCGCACGAAATGACTGCTATCGTGTCAGCAGCGGGACCTTAGCATATATATAGGATATATATACAAATACACAATAATGGACACAGATTATAAAGTGAACACTTTCATTCACTAATGAAAGTCAAACATGTTTGTTTCCACTGTTTTATTGTGTGCCTGTCGCGATAAGCAATTAATTGACTTATCGTACGATAAATAAAAATGAACTCGATAATTTTTCTGACCTCGATAAATTGCCATTTACATGAGGATGTGACTAGCAGTTTGAAAGGATGTACTTGAATTATTATTATATATTATCATTATGTCAGTGGTCTAAAATGGTCATACAACGGTGCCGACAATATTATCGTTTATCGCAATCATTTCCGGGAAAATGTATCCAACAAAATTAATTATCGTGAGAGGCCTATACATGAAACACACACACACACAAACAAATCTACAGACTTACTCCAAACTGCCAAATATATTAATTAACACACTCTCACTCTCATATACTCTTTGACTCTATTTTGGCCTAGTAGAACAATAACCAGCAGACTTTTACTTTGTTATAATTTCTACTGGATCTTAGATCTGCGCATGCGCAATACGGGTCGGCAGTTGCGGCTCCAGAGTATTTTTGTTGGGTAATCTATGGTAGGGCTAACCCATACAGTGGTGGGGCTCAAGTCAGTATTTGCAATGTAATTACATACACGCTCCCCCCGACAGTGAAACGCCATGCGTGAGGTTTAGATTATTTCCCTGTCTCAATCAAAATTGAACTGTATGAAATAAAAAGGCACATTTGTCTTGTAGTAAATAAAAAGGGCGACCTGGAGCCAATCCTGCAATTTCCCCACAGGTGAAAGAGTTGACATGCTGAAAACCCAACCCCTGCAGGGGGGTCTGGGGGGATTTTTTGAAATACTAACATAAAATACACATTCTGGTACTCTCTTGAGAAGAAAAATAAATACATCTATTACTACACGACATATTTAAAAAAAATGAATGCCATTTTAGTTTTGTGTTACTTTGTTCTGAAAGCTGAACCTGCTGCTCCTCTCAGAGAAGAGGGAAGAGGCTGTGTGAATTACTTTACATTGTGGATAAGGGTGGATAGCCCCCATTGTTCTGTGTGTCAAAATGAAAGACAGCCCACACACCTATCAATCATCAAACCGTGTGGTCTTATTTCATTACGTGTTGATTTCTATCAACACGTAATGTTGTATCGATATATAGAGATGTACTACCGCAAAAGTATTCTCTGTCGGGACTTCCTGTAACAACACCACGCCGTTATCGTGATTTTGATTGGCCAGAAGACATTATCAAAGATGTTCTATTGAGAAGACTATCACTACGTGACAAAAGTTTTCAAAACCGTTTCTAGTCTTCGGTATTCTTGTTTTTGGCGTGAGAATAGTTTGGGCAGCGTGAGAGCGTGAGATTGAGAGTGAAAGCGTGTGTCACACGCCAGATGCGTGAGAGTTGGCAACCCTGTTCAACCATCATGTTTCATGATGTTCTACTTCATAGAGATCCTACACAATTTACCTCTGAATTGTAGTGGAGTAGAAATACTAAGTAGCAACACATTGAAATAATCAAGTAAAGTACAAGTATCTCAAAATTGTACTTAAGTACAGTACTTGAGTAAATGTGCTTAGTTACTTTACACCACTGGTCACTGGATCAGGAAGATTGGGGTATTCTTTCACAAACCAAACTGAGAAGTTCCATATTTAGTTTAAATACATTATACTTTCTTTTGATATACTTCTTTTAACCACTGTGACACACTGTCGATGCTTATGACTGGTCAGCTTATACCTCAGCATTTTCTGGTTTGGCACATTCAAACAGAGCCATGTTTAATAGTTAAACATGGTAATTTCTTACACATGGCAAAATGGAAATTGTTAGAAGACAAAGAAAAGCAAACACACATTAACATACACTGTTCTTTTGTCTTTCAGTGGGATATGCGAAGAACAAGGCAGTGTCTCAGAGCTGTGGGCAATACTTGTGCTTTCAGGATGCGGTGAGTGTGTGTGTGTGTGTGTGTGACAAAGTATGGTTCACTTCACTGTCCAGATGTCTTTAATAACACATACAGTACAGTAGTGTGTCAAAACTAATAAGATCATATTGTTTTGCCCAAATATATACGCTGTACATTGAGCCGTTTACACACAGACCTCAGTGACTGTTTGGCAGACCTGTCAGAGAGCATGACTAATGAGCGGAGAGCACCGTTTCATTATGTGTGTTTTATGTATTGATGTTTATACAGTATGATTGTCTTTCTTTGAAACAGTATTTTATGGTCACTGATCTGAAGGCTGTATTGTTAGATCAACAAATCAATGGCCAAACATCAGAATGTGTGATCTCTGTTTAGATCTATTTCTTAACAGCTTGTATCATACAGATTATCAAATGCCCTTTCATTTTAATAAAATAAAAATATCCAAAGACAATAAGATTGCTTTCTCAGAAAACTCCTATGGGCTCTCTTGTATTTGTTTCATTCTACTTTTTGACACTGTTAATATACTGGTTTTCCTTAAACAACTTAAAATCAAACAGTTACCTTATACCTCCATTTATATAATATCTTTCATCAGCATTTTTTCTTTGCACGGAAATATCAAGGAAATATTGTTGAAATACATGTCTCTGTTTCCATTATCTATTTTATTATTTCTGGTTTTGGTACCATATGCATATTGGGATTCTTATTGTACTGTACTAAGCTAATTTGAACTCCCTTTTAGCGTCTCTATCTAGCTACAAAGCTAGCCAGTAGCTATTACTGGTCTGTTCTATCAAGGCTGGGCTTTAAGACAAAAATCTCGTATCCCTATATAGTTTGATCCATATCTCGATAACGCTATATATTACAATATAGCATGATTGCTAGATAAAACAATAAATTAGTCAATAAATAAATAAGTGTATATAAATAGCCCGTGGTTATTTAAAGCCTTTTTTGTACTGAGCATGTTCTGATTTATTTTTGCAATATGAACATAATAGTACATTTTATTTGGTATATGCTTGTTCACATCAAACCAGACAACACAATTGCTTATCAAAATATTCTAATATAGGATATCAATTCCTTTTGAAGATGAAAAATATCAAATTGAGAAATTACCAATCTTAAGATATGTGTTCAAGCGTGTGTGATCTTAAAAGAAAAACACCTAAAAGTATTGATAAAGTATACAATCATAGAGTGCACATACCGTCCGTACTGCTGAGTAAAAGCCAAACTAGACGGGTATGATTTTTTCATAAAGTAACCTAGTGTGTACTTTTTTCACATGCTGAATAATCAGAATAATGTAAACGCGGTTTGTGTTTGAATTCATTTGTTGTTTTACTCCAGGATGATGTTATGCTTCCCCAAAGAGTTGGTCTGCAGCATGACGCCTCTGTCCTCCACCCACACTCTGTAAGTCCTCCCTCAAGTATTTGCTTACTCACTTCCCCCCCCCCCCCCCCCCCCCCCCCCCCTTTCTCCATTTCTTTTCTCCTCACTTCTCTCCCTTCCCCTTCCCTTTCTCTCTCCCTCTGATCCTCTGACCAATCCCTCCCAAAAATATATGTGTTGTTGGCCTGCGTGTGGGTGTGTGTGTGTGAATCCCTGCAGTTGGCATCCAGCACAGTGCGAGTATCCGGTGTTGATGCTTTCTGTGGCCCGCCAGGTCAGAGGTCAAAGGTTGTGTGTGTGAGGGAAGTGAGGGAGACAGCATGGAGACAGCAGGCTTGCTGCCCTGCACAAACAACATGCCTATTTCTGTTATGGCTGCAATATTTTATAGTTCTTGTACGATAATATGTTGTTTTTTTTTCCAGCTTTGTATAAAATACTTCTTTATGTAAACCCCTCTTTACTTTTTATTGATCTCTCTTCTGAGATGTGGCCGGTTTGTCTCGAAAAGGGAACAAGTGATGCAGTTCAGATACATGATGCAACAAAACTAAAGACTGTTTTCATGTTGCTTACTTTGCCATTTCTTTTCTTGATTATTCAGTTAATTCTTTGGCCTACAAAAAATAAGAAAACTGTGCATCATAAATTGCCATAGCCAAGAGTGACATTTGAAAGAGGTCATATGTTGTAAGGAAACTATCCAATACCATAAACAAATAGAAATTGTTGTCATAAGACAAAGAAAATGTGCAAAAGTTTCCATTCGCAAAGTGAAAGATCACATCATTTTGCTTGATGAATGATTGAAATATTTGATTGCTTAGTCCATTAATTATTTAATCTTCATACAAATGTTCTTAAAATCTGAACAACAATTCAAACCACGATGTGTCTGTGTGGTTGTTAGTCTGTTGAAACTTAAATGTACCTTTTATTCTCTTGTTACTTTTTCAAAATTGCTGAAATTAGTTTCAATGTGTCCTTATCAGAAAAGTTTTTATGTTTGTATGTTAGCTGATTGGCTGTCAAGTTCAGAGGGTCCCTGAGGGCTCTACGGAGCGATACACCCGCTGGATCAACATGATCTCTCAGGATCAGCTCCTCACACAGGTAAATACCCGCAGCATGTTGTTCGGGCACTACTTTGCCTCTGAATGTGTGTGTATGTGAGAGGTCATGTGCCAGGCATCAACCAGGTCAGATAGAAACAGGATACGTACCTGCCGCTGCTGTTTCCACGGAAATGTGGCGGTGGACTAGACCGAGGACACAGCTCCACTCTTGACCTCTCAGTCCGTCCCGCTCCCATCGGAGGAAACCGCTCACACCGCCTGCTGAGGGGGTCAGTAGTGGAAACTGCTTGTGGTGGAAAAGATAATTTTGCAGAAATAAGTGCTGCAGGCTTATTTCAGTTTCAACTGCTGACATGTTGTGCTCATTGTACTGCACCACTGTGTCAAGGTTGCTACATAATAACATCTTTAGAGACTTTTTTTTATAAGCTCATAATTTGCTTCTGCACTCTGCCCCATTCTATTTCATAAGAAATAGTTTTATGTCTTAAAGGTCCCCTATTATACTGTTTTTCATCAATATATTAGAGTTCTCAGTTATATACAAAACATGTCTCTGAAGTGTTTGGCTTGAAATACCAAACAGATCATGCATTGTAGCATCCCTGTTTCAAAAGTGCTGATTCTCTGTCTGTTACTTTAGATGAAAATAAGGAGCCACTCCCCATGCTCCTCTGAGAGATATTTGGTTAAAAAGAACACAATTGTGCTCTAGGAGGAGATTCAGGTGATAAGGTGGGCGGGTGTTACCTTGGTTGGTGATTGGCTAATGGTTACACAAGCCAAAAAAACATTGTGACATCATAAAGTGGCCAAAATCTGATCAGCTCATTGTCAGACAGGTTTTTATATAAATGGATCAGGACAAAAAGAGAAGGGGTCTTTTTTCCGGAAATGTTCAGAATCTCTTTACACAGATGGGACACATGTTGATGTATAAAATACATGAAAAGGGGATTTTGCATAATAGGTGACCTATAAAAAATGACGGCTGTTCCTCCAGAGCAGGTGGAGCCAGAGCTCTGTTGTGGCTGTGGCAGATGGTGAAATGCAAAGGATGGAAACGATTTGAATGGTCAGGAGCCAAGTTTCATAGCCAAGTCATGGAAAGCTTTATGACTCGCCTAATCGCACTCATCTGGAAAGAATGGAAACGTGACCCAGCATAAGCAAACCCAGCTGATAGCACGACCCCACACTGGCACGGTGTTTGCCTGCTAACTGGAGACTATAATAATATACGGTATTTGGACTGTCGGGCCACAATGCATTTGGTAACACTTGTGTTGACATTATACACATAAGCGAACCCAGCTATTACCTGGCAGGGCATTGGCTAATGAAAGGAACATGTTGCTGTTTTTTAACTGGCTGTTTATCATTATAATGTGGGTTTTAAATGCTAATTTATCATGTTAAACTTCCCTTTATGTTGCCAGCTTCCACAACTTTCTACCCATTGCCAACAAAAGTCTGCCAGATGAAGCGCATGCCTGCTTTTAGAGCTTTGGTTTGAACTACAAATTGTGCTTCTGCAGTTTTTGTGTGCTCGGCTACTTAAATGGGTATTGCTGGAATATAATATTTGGGGCTTCTCACTATGTATGCCAACGTATTCAGTGTGGAGGGATTATGGTGTATGGAGGAAGACGAGGACACCCCAGCAGAGAGTCAAGCCCAGCGAGCTGGAGAGGATAGTGGTGCAGCACGCACAATGCATGCTGGATATTGTAGGTTTTCTGCTAAATTGATTACCACAGCCCTTTTTCTTTGTTTAATCTGGTCCTCTAGCATCGATTTAAAAAATACATGTGCCTTTAAACTGCTTTGACAGATCAGTTTTATTTATCTGTTCAGCTGTGGAATAGTTATTTTAAGGTGCTATTCAATTAAAAACTTTACCACTTTTATAATTAATTATTTGACTTTCACCATAACATAAGAAGGGACATTAACCACTAAATGATACATGATGAGACCCTTTATTTACGTAGAGATGGAACTCTACTGTTGCTGTCTGAACAAAACACACCGTCACCAAGGATACAACAGAACCTGGACACACACACACACACACACACACACACACACACACACAGAGAGAGAGAGAGAGTCTGCATAACTCCTTAGCAGGCATTCCTGGATATTTATGTGATATTAAGTTTCATGGAGCATGAGAATGAGATCATGCATTGATTCTGCAGGCTTGAAGCAGCTCCTCACATGTTCTCCTTTCTTCACTCTATCTGCCTTTACTCCCAGTTTCTGGGTGAGGAAACAGAATCTAGCTCTCTGAGTTAAACCAGAGATTTTATCTGAGTGTGGCTCGTTTAACCTGATCCAGAGGTGGAACCTGAGTGTTCATCTGTAGGACATTAGTAATGGTTATCACAACCCTCCCCTACCCCTCTGACTTCTGACACTGACTCACATCTACTCTCTCTCTCTCTCTCTCTCTCTCTCTCTCTCTCTCTCTCTCTCTCTCTCTCTCTCTCTCTCTCTCTCTCTCTCTCTCTCTCTCTCTCTCTCTCTGTGTGTCCCCTGGTTTCCCAGAACTCATTCGTATTGAGTCTTGAGTTTGGCCACAGCTTACATCTGCAAAATGTTGCAATGTTACAACAGAAGGGAGAGGAGTTGTACACACACACACTCTTTCTAGATTCTGTCCAGCTGTTTGACTGGCTGAATCCAGATGTTTTCCCCCATTTTCTTCATCTGTGTTTCATTTAACTTTTGCAATTGTCTTCAACTTTAACCAAGAACACTCATAGTGACATAGCTGGAGCAAGAAACATCTCAACCTGGAATGACCCTCGGATTCAAAACGCAACAAAACTACAAACACACACACATGCAGAGGAAAGGAGGTACAAGTAGGGGTGAGGGTCTGGAGAGAGGGGTATGCAGAACTGGAATGGTGAGAAGAGGGGGAAATATAGATAGGGTCATGTGGTCCTGGTGTAGTCGGGTTAGAGGAGAAACGGGCCCAAACAAAGTCTTTAGTATAAGATCATGTGCCAGAGGATGGAGGTGTGTGTCCTTCCAGGAAGGTGTGAGACATGCTGCTGCACTCCAACCTGTTTTGTTTGCAGTCTTGCAGAGTCTTTCTGCAATGTACTGTTTGTTCAAAAACAAATGTGAAATTTCCCAGAGCCGTCTGTCTGCCAAACCCTGGTCAGATTCTAGCTTATATAATGTTATGTTTTCTAAACACGAAACAAAGTTATTTTATTTATAAAGTGGAGCTGACACTAAATTCTGTTTCCTGCTCGGTGTGTTGAGAGACAATCTGCAGGTTGTGGTTGTATTTATATATCATGATAACTCTTGCAGGATTTGATTATTCAAGCCTGAGTTCAGACTTGTTTTAATGTTCACATTTAACACTATATTTATATGAATTGATATCAATATTTAAAAAAAGTATACTTATACTCCCAGCTAATACTACCGTTTGTATCCAGGTGCATTGATCCATGCTTACATTTCCCTTTTTCTCACCTCTAAGACCTTATTTAAGCATATCAGTTTTTTCTTCCACTGTGTACTTGTGCAAAATTTGCTGTAGAATCACATATTTACTTTTATTCAATTTCAGATTAGTTTCGTATTTTGGAAAATCCATCTTATTTGTTTTCTGTTACTCATCCCCTCTATTAGGCGCGTTCACACCGGAGTACTTTTACCCGTACTTTTCCCGTTTAGTTCCGTTAGCGCCTGGAATTTTGCGTTCACACCAAAAAGAGTACTAATGGCGCAGTTCCAACAACTCTGGGGACTTCCGGCCGGGAACTTCGGGTGGCAGTATACGCCGTGAAGTGGTTTGCGGCCTGCCTGTAAACCCAAAGCAGAAGAAGAAGAAGTGACGTCAGCGGCTTCATTTGCGTAATCTTCCCTCAGGGAACTTATTCCGGTGTGAACCTTTATATATACAGTCTATGGTGTGAACGCAATCTGTACTTAGTTCCATGGGGGCACTAAGTGCTGGGCACTAAGTACGGCAAAGTACTTGGTGTGAAAGCGGCTAAAGGCTTCAATTTTCATGGGAGAGAAAAATAAGTCCTTAAAAGTGTTTGTTCACAGTGACCAGTATGTACACTTGCAGTGTGTCCAGAACACAAGAGATTTTTGCTATGTTAAAGTCTGAATTTGTGTTTCAGGTGTACACCTCTCATGGGCCAACAGTTGTCATGCCGACGTGGTTCTGCTCGAGGAACTGGTACCTGAAGGTTGGACCGTTTGATGAGGGGGGCATGGTGAGAGTTCACCCAAAGTGTCCTTGACCCTCCTCACTGTGTGTGTGTTTCACACTCTCACTTCCTCCTCCCCAGGGAGTCCCGGAGGACTTGATCTTCTTCTACCAGAGTCTTCGTCAGGGAGGGGGCATGGCCAGGGTCGACCAGTGCCTGCTGGTGTACCGTTACCACGAGAAGGCCACCACACACTCTGTAACAGAGTCAGTATCACCCACACTCCCTTTCCCCTGCTCAGCTACACACACACACACACACACACACACACACACACACACACACACACACACACACACACTTGGACACCGTGTTGATCCTCCACATACTCACAGCTGCCCGCTGGCATCCAAGAATTTCTCAGGACTCAAAACTCCTCCACACAAATATTCACAGGCACATAGAAGCATGTTTTTGTAATCTTGAGATTTTCAGAATGTTTTTGGAATTCCCGAAACTTTCCCAGCATATCAGGAATTTAGGAATTTTAACCAGTTTTCTCACTGTGGAATGTCGGGCATCTTCCTTAGGGAATCAGATCTTTTCATTAACTACCATGTTTGTCATGGTGAGTGTGTGCGTGTGTGTTTGTGTGTGTGTCTGGAGAATGCTGTTGCCTGTGCTTCAGCAAGGCCATGTAGTGTCTGCAGGTGCGTGTGAATGCCTCAAATGGTAAAACACCAAAGAAGAAGGTCATTCCTTCCACGCCTCCATCCCTTTCATCCCCTCCTTCCTTTCCTCCTTCCTTCCTTCCTGCTTACTTCCTTTCTCTTCTTCGTCTGTCAACTTCTCGTATATCTTCCCCTGTTGACGCACGTCTTCACCCATCATCTTCCTCTCTGTCTTCATCTATCATCTGTCTATTTACGGACACCTATTTTAAGCCGTGCCTTGCCTACTTTCCACTCTCCCCTAATTCTTGTCACCCATTCCCCTCCACCGAGTGCCTACTTCCTCTTTGGTCAAAAGAAACCCTCACCTTCTTTCTGTCTATCAAACATGCACACACACACACACACACATCATGTGATAATAAAAGCTCTTTCCGTGAGGTGAGAAGTGTGTTTTTAAAAGGTTAAGATGGTTCAAAAGAGGAACTGAGATGAGAGGCTTCTTAACACAGAAAGGCTTTGTTTATAAATGAGAGTGTGTACCCATCCCCTTGTGTGTTAGAGTGCACGAAAGTGTGTCTGCTTTTTGATCTGCAGGGTATTAGTGGGATGAAGGTTTCAGTATGTGTATACACATACAGTTTATAGTCAATCTCTGCCATGTTACTGCCATGTCTCGGAATCAACGCAAATGAACAGAAAAGCGATCTGCGGACCACCCGCGCTCCCCGATGGCGGTGGGTTTGTTTGTCATATGAGGCCCACTGTTAGACCCAGTAAGACGCTCACTTCAGAAGATGAGAGCAGAGCACGTCCTGTGAATGTGTCCATATAATTACTCAACATCAGTTTGTGTGCGTGTGGGTAGTTGTGTGTTTGTGTGGGTGTGAGGCACGTGCACAGCTGTGTAAATCAGTCAAAGTGCAAAGCAACAGGAAAACAAGCTAATTTAAAACAGACACATTCTTTCCATCTACCAAAAGAAATCAAACTGCTGTTTATGAGTCATAGTTTAATGTAATGCAGTGCATGCTTCAAGGAAATCGATTTTAAGAGGTGATAATGATTTGATACAGAAAGCAGGTTTCGGATTTGATACCTTTACTTGTATTGTGGTTATAGCTTTCTTTTAGCTGTGAATACATTGTATTATTTAAAGTAGTTGCTGAGTTGGGGGAACTTGGCTTATTCGCCAAAGAGAAGTCAAATGAATCAGATCATCAGATAGGATGCAAAGAACAACCACTGATGAATGACTATTGACAGTTCGACTAGAAATATATATTTTTTTGGGTTCACTATCTCTACCAATTGCTTGTCTTACCTGATTTAGCTAAACATCATTTTTCATAATATAATCTGGGTATTAGTGCATGCGGTATACCTTTATAAGAGAACATGTAGTAAATCTGTCAGTGTTTCCCTTTTCAGCGAAATTCAACAGTCTTTTCTTAGTTTTAAAGACACCATCTCATCTTTTCATAATGTAGCATTAAGCTAATGAGCTACCTGCTTCTCCATCCATCCCTTAATCCTTCACTCTTCACCGCTGTTTCCAGGGAAACCATTTGGAATCTGCGAGTGGACTTCCTACAGGAGAGAGTTCTCAGCCAATGGGAGAGCTTCACCATATGGAACGCTGGGAAACAGGGCCGGAAGCTGTACCGAAGCCTAAGCCCGACCAATCAAAAGAAGGTATGCAACCTCTGGCTATGCAGATTTATGTGAAACATTATAATAGTTACTTTTAGTTAGCTCTATTATTCTTCCTACTGTATGTAGTGGAAAAAGTCTGACGTGATGTGAGAGTGCGTCAGCTTTCAAGCTAAAAATATTCTGCTTTACTCATAAGGTGAAGGCTTTCTGTGATGTCGATGAGAACAAGATCCAGAAAGGTTTTTACACATATGAGGACTCTGAGGTGAGATCAGCTACTGTTGATTCTAAGTACAAGGTCTGTTTTTTTTGTAAGCACGACAAATTATAAGATTTGATTCAAATGAATGATCATCCAACAACTTTATTGCAGTGGTTTAGATTATTATGAAGATGTGAAAAACACTAATTTTTGGTTTTCTGTGTCTTTCTTTTGATCTCATCCAGCAAAGACCCAAGCCAAAAGTCCCAGTTCTGCACTACAAAGATGCCTCGGCCCCCTTCATTATCTGTGTAAAACTGGTGAGCAGAAAGCGTGTTTGTGTGTTGTATGTTTGCTGTTTCTGCCTGTCCCTCAGGTCTGTAATCTGAGTTAACGACATAATGATCATGGGCGTGTGCCCGGCACAGGACATAACACACACACACACACACACACACACACACACACACACACACACACACACACACACACACACACACACACACACACACACACACACACACACACACTGGGGGCAGTCAGGAAATGGGTAGAGACAGCAGCCTGGCCTTTGATCACATGGCACTTATACAAACAACTGATGACTTTGTCACCGTTCATATTTGTACATGTTGTGGTCCCAAATCCTGCCAATATCTGTAGCTAGCTTTACCACACACACACACACACACACACACACACACACACACACACACACACACACACACACACACACACACACACACACACACACACACACACACACACACACACACACACACACACACACACACACACACACACACACACACACACACACACACACACACACACACACACACACACACACACACACACACACACACACACACACACACATTCTGCTGTTCTGTCAGCCAAATCCCTAATTGCCTATTTATCACCTAGCCAGATTCAGACGTCAAATCTAGAGTGACCCCACCTACGGGGGCTACTAATTGCTCAATTATGGGAATTGGGAGAAGTAATCATAGGCAGAAGAAAAAGAGACCTGGACTCCTTCATTCTCCCTCTCCTATGACACACACACATACACACATACACATACATGCACCCACTCACCATGACAAACATGATGGTTCATGAAAAGAACACCTGGACTCAATCAAACTATTTTTTTATATCCAGATGTTAAATAACTATAATTAACAAATATACAATTCATTTTAGCTTTTAACATTTCTCATGGTTAAATTACTGTTGGTGACTCTCGAAGTCTTTAGCCTGTACATAACCTTTAACTTGTATTCAGTGCAGTTAAAATACTGAAGATAACAAGGACCTTCATCAAAGAGATAAAGCATGGAAGAGTTAAAGAGCGAACAATCCTATAATAGCTTTGTGTGGATTTGTTTCACCTTCTACCATGTTTTATGTTTCTGTTCCTTCATCGTAGGACATGACAGGAGGCGTTCTGGAGGAAAACCTCAACTCCTTGCAGCTAAAGGAAGGAACTGATTACTACCATTTCAACTGACAGCTCAGAGTGATGGAGACGTGAAGAGGAGCCCTGCGGCTTTAGAAGAGGAATGCACACAGACTGAGGGATAGACAGGTGATAAGAAAGGAGTGAACCAAACACTGGCACAATAACTCTACCAAGACTAGGGAAAGAGTACGTTTTAATGTATGTTTTAAGCGTTAAAAGATTATTTCTATGTGTGGAAATTGGTGTGAAAATGTAAAAGTGCAAAGTTGACGCAACCGCTGATGAAAACAAAACAGTTTTATCCCAGCCCTGTTTCCTCCACCACAATAGTGAGATAGCTATCTTTGTTAGATGAGAACACTCTCTCATTTCTGTTCATTAAATATGAGGTTACAGCCAGGAGAAGCAAGACTGGAAACAGTGCACCAAAGCACGCTACTGCCACATTACACACGCTAAGGCACGACATGAGACCTTTCTTTTCCATATTCTAATTAGGAAAAGTTCTTTATAGTACTTTTTTGTGTGCAGTGCATACCACTGGTTGCTCAGAGGGAACTTACAAAACTGCGACATCCTGCTCTAACCCGCTATTCTTGATTAGCCAAGTGATTTTTCTAAATTACAAGACCAAGATTTAAAAAAATAACACAGGCTAAATCCTGTCATGTTCAGAATTCTGCAGCTGTTCCTCTGTTGGGTTTGGGATGAAAGAATGGAGTATTGTGCGCTGTGCTGCGTTGAAGAGGATGTTACGCTAACGTCACTATGACAGTCAGGTAAGACTCCCACCTACATTGACAGAGTACTATCCACAGTGGAAAACGATATAGAAAAAAACATCATCTACCAAAAGGGGTTGAGTCGTGTTGAGTTTAGCTGAACCATGCAGGAGAAATTAGGAATATTTAACACATCATATCACGTTTATCCTGTTTTAACGTACACATTTTTGTAAGAATCAAACAAACTTTGTGCTAAACTACGCTAACCATCCAGCCTGTGGCTTCATTCTGCTCAACAGATTAGATTGAAAGAAGTGAGAACAGGGAAGAAGTAAGTATGTTTATTTATGTTTATTTCCCCCAAATACCAAACTATTTCATAAAAAAACTTGAACTTTGGTTTTCATGCCAAAAGAAGGATCTGTTTCTCATGCCAGAGGATATTACTGTTGCCGATGTTGTAGGAATAAAATGTATCTATGTTTTCTAACCCTGTGTGCCCGGAGATTGGTATTTGCCAACCTGTACGCTTGAACTAGTGTTGAAGTTAGAGGAAGCCATGTGAATCAGCACCATCACAGAAGGTTTAACTTATAAAGGGCGGGATGTTTTATGACCGGAATCACTCCGATTTCTCAATAGCCTTCGCTGATGCAACCATGCAAAATCAGATGCACGCACACAGCTGCTGCAAATGTACAAACATGGATACTGCATGTATTTGTTTTTCTTTCCCGGGGTCTCTTATGAAATCTGAAGAACAATAACCTCTTTAAGAGAGCACAGTTCAGATACATAAACACGCATAAAAAGTTTATTTTACCTCACAGAGTGTGGAGTTTTTCCGCCCAAAGGTAAACAGACCTTTTCCCACAAAATCGCCCCCAATGTTTCCTGGGTCAGAGACGTGGTCTGCCTTACTGTAAATGTGGCCGCAGCAGTTTGCAAGGAGGCAACAGTGGCAGAAAAAAGGGTCTTCGACTCTGCTAAACTTTTATTTTCAAAAGTTTGTTTGTTATATACTGAACATACAGTTACACAGTGTGCCGTATTAGAGGTTAGGCTCGGAGTCATTGTGTTTGATAAACTGCGGCGGGACTGTTTGGACCTGATCCAGCCTTTGGGGGGGGGGGGGGGGGGGGGGAGAACCCGAGAACCCGAGAACCCGAGAACCCGAGAACCCGAGGCCTCTGCCACTGCCACCCCCGGTACAGTGCAGTGTTGGGGCTGAGAAAAATATCACATCCACTTAGCACTCGGTCTCCATTTAGACCCCTCTTCCCTCTCTGTTTGTGCACACAAACACTAAAACAGGAAGGTGTCTTCCACAGAGATGGGATTCTTTACAGTAGAGCCGCAAGTAATGATGACGTCATTCGTCTGATGATTAGTTTCTCGATTCATTGTTTACTCTACAACAATTTTAAGAAATAGTAAATGCCGTTAAATTTTTCCAAAACCCAAGCTGACATTTTTCTTAAAGCTTAATTTATCTTACCAACAGTCTAAAACTAAAGGAGTTTTAGTTTAATGTCACACAACACTAATGAACTGCATGATTTTGCTTAATAAATGGCTTAAAACAAACTGAACAAAATGATCTGCAATATGCCTTAAAAAAGGACCTCAACAATAGAGTTATGTGGAATCATTTTCTGTTTTATCAGCAAATAATTATTTGACCAATCATCTGGCTCGCAGTTAGTTCGCAGGTAACGTATTAACATTTGTACGTATTATATTTTACACAAGTTATGTTTTTTGTGCGTTTTCCAACAAATGTCTGTCTGTCTGTCAGTTAGCCCACTACAACAACTATTTGATGGATTGCCAGGAAGTTGTGTACAGACATTCATGTTCCTCAGAAGGTGAATCCTAAAGACTCAGATGATCCTCTGACTTATCCATACTCGTCAACTAAATGGATGCTATATAGTTTATAATGTAACAAACCAAAAATATGTTGTTTAAATTAGACCACCGTCTCTCTAAATACATCCTGTCTCCTCCCCCCTCTCTGCCCTCATGATTAAGCACTTGGTCGATGAGAGCGAGCTCTAATGGAGAAACTATGAAAGAAGCTCAGATAGAGAGTAAACAGAGCTTTACTCAGTGTTTACACTCCGTCTCTCTGCAGACATCAGACCTGATAACACACACACAATGAATGACCCTGACCCTGGAGCCTGCTTGCCCTCGCTGGTCAAATAAACCTGACTGTGTATGGAGAAATGCACACACTCACTCCCATATGCACTTACACAGATGCGTGTCCTCTGGCAGTGCAGCTGATAAGAGAAAGAGTCGGTGTGTTCGGGTGAAGAGAGCTCACAGAGGTCGGACACTGAAGGCTTTTTTGTTTACCTGGAACTTCACCACATTCCTATGTTTCAACACTCTGTATGGAATTAAGATGTGTGTGTGTGTGTGTGTGTGTGTGGACAACAACTGTCAGTAAAAGGAGAGACACACTGTTAGTCATTGGACTATTCTAAACTGGTCGACAAAAAGTGAATATCTTATTATGCAAAATGTAGTTAAAATCCAGAATCTAGCTTCTCTGCATTTTTTCTATAAAATGTTACAGTATGCCATAGAAATGTATCATTTCACATATAAACGTAAAAGAGAGATATACAACTTAGGAAGGAGAGCTAACGCGTATCAGGTTAAAGCTAGCTAGTGAGATTTAGCTGCTATAGCTAGCTAAATGGACTTGAAAGGTCAGTTCAGCCCAAAATTCAAAACACAGATTGTTCAACTCTGTGTGAATCACTGATTGTTGGAGATATTGGCTGTATACATTATGTTACTACATCTATAGGGGTCTTTTTTGTACCCTAAAGTCTGTCTAAAAACAAAATTCATAATAACAATTTTAGGTCTTATATTGGTTACATTTTAGGTTTGAAATCGTTCTTTTATATGCAGTAATGTAGTGTGTGCGGTCATCTTGAAAACTGTTTCTCAGTTGATCTGCTTTTATAGGTAATGCATTCTTCTTTGTCCAGTATGAAGTTGTCATACTGGACATATAACTGTCATCTTGAGCAAGGCACTGAAGCCACTAAAAGATCCAGTGACTTAGTTGACCCCAATCGGTAAATAAAGATGTTAAAAAATAGAGAGAGGAGTGTGCTTTGTGCAGGTAATGAAGAAAGAAAGGTCAAGAAGATTGTAATCAGAGATAGTGAGATGTGTGCGTGTGTGAGACGGCGTTCCTCCTGTCAGGCCACTTGAGAGGAGCCAGGTGACAGCAGGGGGGTGAGGGGGCAGGTCAGAGGCTCTGCTGCTCTGTAAATACTTCAAATGGTGAAGAGCGCATGAGGTCAAACTGCACATCAGCAGCTTAGACTTCCTCTGCTGCGGGGACAGGATTAGACCTGGGTCAGACTCCCTCTGCAGCCTCCAGAGCTTTAGGACCAGTCGTGTTTATGGGGAAATCAATGTTACACCATATGTTTTTCAAATCCTGTGACTGGGGGGAATGTGTTAGATGGGATAATGAAACAGAGGGAATTAAAGTGTAGGACATCACCCTACCTGACTGGTTATTCTGTAGGGAGATTCTCAGCACTCCTGGGCTAAGTCCTCCCTCAGTCCAATTGTGGCAAACATGATTCCAGTCATCATTCAAATAGCAATGTTTATACCCTGTTCATATATTTACAGACATTCACAATACATTTGTGTAAATTACAATCTTAACATTTTTATTTTGCCCTCTATGGCGGCACCTATGACGTTAAGTGGTAACTGCACGTTTGTTTTTGTATCTTACTGTCCAGTGATTGACACTTGGGATTTTTCCCAGGAATGTCCCCAGGGATACCCAGTTCATAAAAATGCCAACACAAAGACTTCCATCAGTCAGTGATGTGTACCTAATTTGGCGACAATAACTTAACAGAAAATTATTTAAATTAAATCTGTAAGATGTTTACTTTAAAGAAATGATTTTTGGTTCCACTTTTTTAAAAGTAATCTTTTATTCAGGGTTTATAAGGAAACGTTGGGTTACGTATTGTAACCCTTGTTATATAAACACAGGCGGAGCCCTCTACTGGACTCTATGGGTACTACCTTATCATGCAAGCATTCACCTACTGAGATTTCTATAGACGTAGCCGGCCCCGGGGCGGGCTTACCTGAATGCGTGCGCATCTCACTTCTGTATAAAAGGAGGCCTCGCCTCCTGACCACTATCCTACACCACTCTTCAGCGAGCGGTATAGGACAGACAGTGCCCCCAAGGTAGAGGGCTCCGCCTGTGTTTATATAACAAGGGTTACAATACGTAACCCAACGTTATATCTCTCACAGGCTCCGCCCTCTACTGGACTCTATGGGTACAGTGGGCGGAGCCCCGATGTATGCACGCACTGTCGTCCAGCACACCGTTCCACCTCACTGTCCCTGACCGGCTTTAGCAGCCACTGCGCCTCACTCACCTCTCCCTCGGTTGTAACCGTGGAGAAGTCCGGGCTGCGGCCGATAGAGCACACCCTGACGCGCTTGCCTCGCAAAAAAGTGTGCTCAAAAATAGTGCTGAGGACTCCCCTACGTCTGCCCATAGGCAGACAGGGAAAGTCTGCAGCCCTGTATGGGTTCACTATGCACTCTCCCTCCTGAGTCCCTAAAGAGCACGGGGAGAACGCAAGTGCCCCCTATGTCCCCCCACTCCGCCACTGACCCTGTGCAGAGTGTGTAGGGACAATAGTATGGAGGGCTCTCCCCCTCCTGCCCCCAGGCAGGCGAGGGGAGCCCTTCAGCCCTGTAAGGGCCCAGAGCGCATTACATCACCCCGCGACCCTCCAGGGGTCCGGAGAAATGTAAGCGCATTTACGTCCGGGGAGGGGGTCAGATGCCCACTGACCCACAGCCCCCCCCCCTCCTCACCAGTCCTGTGTTGCCACAGCAAGTACAGACGATGAGAAAGAGCCAGACATATCCAAGAGATAAAACTTTATGAAGGGGCCTGGCGTTGACCAAGACGCCGCCGTGCATATATCCTCCACACTCACACCGCTGAATAAGGCTGTTGATGCAGCCACAGCTCGTGTGGAGTGCGCACGGACCCCCATGGGACAGGCTCTCCCTGCCTGCTTGTAGGCGTGTGCAATGGTTTCACAAAGCCAGCCTGCCAGGCGTTTCTTGGACAGAGCTTTTCCAGTCACCCCGCCCCCGAAGCACACAAACAGCTGTTCAGTGCGTCTCAGGGTAGCTGTGCGCTCTACATAATATGCTAATGCGCGCACCGGGCAGAGGAGGTGTAATTTAGCTTCTCTAGCCCCCCCATGGGGTGGAAGACTAAAACCCCCCAACTGAATAGCCCTCGACCTGAACTCACTCCTTAGGCTCTTGGGCACAAAGGAGGGGTTCGGTCTGAGTGTCGCCCCACTCTGGTCACCCCGAATCAATAAACAGCTCGGGTGCACCGACAGAGCGGTTAACTCGGACACTCTTTTGGCTGACGTTAAGGCAAGTAGCAACGCTGTCTTCCACGACAGTGCTTTCAGGGAGGAGAGCTCAAGAGGCTCAAATGGCCCCGTGACCAAGGCCTCGAGCACCAGCGGCAGGTCCCACTGTGGGGCGGAGGCGTGCACCACCGGGCGCAGCCTCCTGACCCCCTGTAAAAACCGCAACATCAGTGGATGAGAGAAGGCTGACCTGCCGTTGAACCCCTCATGACAGGACGAGATGGCTGCTGCATACACCTTCACTGTGGAATGAGCAAGCCCTCTGTCCACCAGTAACTGTAAGAAGGATAAAATAGAGCCCAACTCACAAGATAGGGGCTCTATTCCCCGCTCCTCACACCAATGCTGGAATCTCAACCACTTCGGCCTGTAACAGGCTGTGGTGGATTCTGCTCTAGCTGCCTGGATAGACTGAATAACGCTGTCAGACAATCCACCCTGTCTCAGCCTGTCCCTCTCAGGAGCCAAGC